TTTTGTTCTTTGGCCACCTTGACGGCAAATCCTTTGACGAAGAAAATCCAACCACTAGAGCAACAGAAGGGGATTGTGATTCCTGAGAGAGACCATTCATAAATTTAGGCAGGCCCCATCTAGAACCTCTCAGGGAATATTTACAAATGTTACAAACCTAAAGGTTTTTATTTTAAGGTCTTATAAGAAACAAAATATATGAAAGAGCACTTTACTGGTTTCTTTTTCCCCATGCAATTCCCTTCTTTCTTTTCCTGCATTTCTAGATAAACATTATAGCCAAGTTAGAAAGGTACCTCTGAACAGACTATTGTTTCCAGCCAGAGTACATTAGAACTGGAGACAGATGCAATTTCCATACTGTCCAAAAGAAATGCATTTGTCTCAGATCGACTATTCAGGAAATTGAGTACTTTTTCTAAGGAGATAAATATAATATGGTGGTTAAGAGCAGATTGGCTGGGTTTAAATTCTGGCTCTGTCCCTGGCTCACTGTGTAGACTTGGACCCATTGCTTAAACTCTCTGTGCCTTAGTAACCTAATCTGTACCTAATCTTGTGGTAAGAAAAGAGTGTGCCTTGAAGAGCATTTAGAACTGTATCTGTACATAGAAATAATCAATAAATAAGTGTTATCTATTATAGAAGTTTAAAAATAGATAATCCTCCCCTGTGCCCATTAAAAAATACCGAATTACTGGATTTTAAAGACTGTTTCTGTGCAAATTGCAGTAGCAATTTCTTAAAAATATTTTGTGATAAAATGATAATGGATGAAATGTCACTGTAAAACAGAACATTATTTTTAGATTGAGAAGAAAATAGCTTATTAAGTCTTTAAGATTTAGAAGTACCTTCTGGGATGCAAAATGAAACTATTCCCTGAAACCTGACTTTTAATACAATACACTCATAACTATATAAAATTTTAAAAAATAGTGATCAATGTGACATGCATCCCTGGTTGACAGATCCAAAGAGAAGTGGAAATTAGTAATAGTGTCAAAGTAAGAGTCCAGAGACCACTACACCTGTGACCTTAAACCAGAAATATAACTAGAAGAAAAAAGAGACTCATTCCCATCTTACCTCCTCCCAACAACTTGAATATGCTCTAGAAATTGACATCTTTTCAGTTGGCAGTGAACGTTATATGTTCACCTGGCCATGAAATTCATGATTAACATCTAAGTGGTCATTTTAGGTATGTATCTTTTACCACAATTTAAAAATAAATAAATTAGGAGACGCCCTTAGAAAAATGATGAAGTCCTCGAATACTTTTGAAACAACTCCTTTTATGATGTTGTTGTGAAAGTCAAGCATGATGTGTTATTACATCACAAAATTACAAGCTCCCCCAAGCACTCAACTTTTTATGTATTTATTCTTTCTAAGAATAAGTGCATGGTTGGAATGAAAAGCTAAATTCTGTTGAAATGAATTTATTTACAAAGGAAAACCTAAGTAGTAATTATATGAGAGATAAAGAGAAGTGATCAAATGGGCACCTTTTTATGGACTGCCATCAACCATCTCCCAAAGCCACAAGCCTGCTCCCAACCCAGCACTTCCTCAGTTGCCCTCCAGAGCTGAAGAGCCTGGCTCTGCCCCTGCCTCCGGCAAGCATTTGGTTTCCAGGCTTTATTTCTTATTTTCCAAAGTGAAAANGCCACAAGCCTGCTCCCAACCCAGCACTTCCTCAGTTGCCCTCCAGAGCTGAAGAGCCTGGCTTTGAGGCAGTATGATCTCTAATATCCCTTGTGGCTCAAAAATTCTCTAGTTCTATTACTGTTGCAAACTCCAACCCTGACCCCAGATTGTAAGCCTCTCTTTCACAAACATGTGAAAATTATCATCTTAGGTATACAAAGAATCCTAAAAATAAGCATGAACTGTCAAAATATTTTTTTTCTTGCTGCAGGATTTTACCTACAGCCAAAGCAATTTTATAAAAACCTTCTACTCGGTATTCAAAAAAGCCATTTCTTTCCCCCAGAGAAAATTAATCATAGGCAAGGACTGGAAAAGACACTTTCCCCAGATGCAGCTTGAGCGAGCTCCTGCGGAGAAGCCCATTCTATTTTAATTTGCCAATTAAAAGTGGCCTGGGGAATCACACACTGTCATTATCTCATTAAAAATACTATACTTGTCACTCCCTTTCCTCTGAAAACAGAACACTCAAGTAGACCAACTGCTCCCCACAACTTAAATTTAATAGCACTTTTAAAATATTGTCTTTATCTAGAGTCCTCTGGGGACTTCACCTTCAGCTGCTATTAACGCCATAAATTCCACAGATCTCCAGTCACTAACTCAACTCCGTTTATTGGATATTTACTATATCCATGAAATTTATTAGGCATTGAGAAGAATTAAAAAGGAACTGGGAGGCTTGCTTTCAGCAAGTTAATGGCCACTCTCATTGGAAAACAGAGCCTTCTGCAGACCCTCTTGTAGCATTTTTGGTTTTGTTTGGCTCTTACTCGACCCCTCCCTACATCTTGCCTGGTTATCTGTGGGATCACATGACAAGCATGGCACTGATGACTCACATTACACCCTTGTTAAAAACAAAAAAGCTTGATTTCTTTTGGTATAACAGTTATAAATTCTCTTCCCTTGTAAAATGTATATTGAGTTGGCGCATGTGGGAAAGAGTCATTTGACTTAACTTGTTACTACTTACCAGCTTCTAATGAGCCATATAAGGACTAGAGAGGGCAGAAGCAAACAAGGAAATGCTGCAGATTCTGATAATGGTTTGTTTTTAATAATGCCCCTTTGAATAATGTAATAATAAATGACAAAGCTATACCAATGACTTCCTACATGTACTTGAACATGATTCTATGTATATGCCTGCAGGTTATTTTGTTTCTCCAAAGATGCTTCCTTGAAGAGTCCATTGACTTCTGTCTAATAAAAACATGCATTACCATAGCTCACTAGGAGAAAGGGACTCTGCTTGTCTTTAACCCAAGAACAGGATTACCTTATTGCCTTGAAATCCCTTCGGGCCTGGATCCCCTGGAGGTCCACTGATGCCCTGCTCCAAGATGAAAACCAAGAATTAGTTCCAATGACCCTATGATAACTAGAGTGACTGTCCTACCCTGACACAATCTCAGGCTAAAACAAAGGAGTTGGTGGTTAACTAGATGTCTAGGAAATCTTGCGTGGAGTATAATTTTCAGTAGACTTTTTGAAATACTGAAATTCTTCACACACACACCTCAGCCTCCCCCCCCCATTATAACTGTAGAAGAAGCAAGTTCACAGACTAGAAAAAAATCATCCAGATTATTTTTTCAAATCTATGAGATATGTCTAAAATAAATGCCTTAAAGAATCATTGTTATTGAGCATCAACTACTTATAGTGACAAATCAATACAAACACTTAATTTAGATAAAATGCACAACTCTTCCAACTCTATTATAGTAGCACTGCAAAAGCAGTTATTCTGCTTTTAACTACTTTGACTTTATCTGTCTTCCTAGGCTCTAATTTTTAAACTTTTATCCCTTCAACCACTCACTAAGTAGACTCACCTGCTGGTACCTATCTTTAGGGAGCCTGAATTAGTTATTAAGACATTAAGGTAGTAGTTTCCAAACTTGACTGAACATTGGAATCACTTGGGGATCTTTAAAAATATTGATGCCTAGCTCCAATCCCCAGACATTCTGATTGAGTTGGCACGATGCAAGCGGGCAAAAGGATTTTTGAAACTTCCTAAGTGGTTCCAGTCTAGACTTAGATATGGTTTTAGCCTCCTTACCTGAAGTCCTCTGGGTCCTTTTGGTCCATATGGCCCTGGGGATCCCTGTGGAATAAAATTAATGGTGAATCACTCTAAATATCCATCTTCAAAGTGCAATGACTGCAGGTGTTCTCTGTAATGGCCAATCTTCCCTGGTGATCCAAACCTCAAAGCCAACATATTCAGTGTTAATGAAATGATCCTAATTAACAAGCCAAGTGTGTGGGGAGGGGTCAAACTTTTCTTTAGCAAACAGACTCCAAGAAAGCATAATTTTAGTTGTAAGTTCTTGGCCTATATATTGACATTTTGATCAAAGTAAATGACTTCTCAAGTAAACTTGGTGGAATAATGTTTTCTTTTCTTTTTCTTTTTTACAATTCTTCACCCAAGGATATTTTTTCCATTGCTTTTCAAAAAGAGTGGAAGGGAAGGAGAAAGAGAGAGAGAGAGAAACATCAATGTGAGAGATCAAGAGATCGATTTGTTGCCTCCTGCGCTCACCCCAACCCAGGCCAGGGATTGAGCCTGCAACTAAGGTACATACCCTTGTTCAGAATCAAACCCAGACCCTTTGGTCCACTGGCTGACACTCCAACCACTGAGCAGAACCAGCTAGGTCAGTAATATTGTTTTCTTCCAACAAGATGATATCAGTTAAATTAATTTAGTGAGTTTCTCCAATGTCTGCATCACTATTTTGCCCATCTTTAAGACATGAAACTTGGCAAAATATTGTTTGTGCTCAACACTCTTCTAATATAAAATATTTCAGTATGTTCCATAACTAGGAAACCCTTTAAAGTTTATTTTTGTTAGAGTATAATATGGTCTAGTCTCTTTTATTCTCAGATTTCCACTTTTTTTCTGCTTTTGTCATATATGTGTCCCTTCACACTGCTGTTAGCATATTTTCATCCAATTTTATTCCCAGTAGATTTTTCTTCAAATAATTTAATCAAAGTGTATATATCTTTTTTATGTTTTACTTATTTGTTCTTCTGTTGTATCAAAAATATTTTTCCATGTCATTAATAACTCTTAGTAAACTGCGTAATATTCAAGAACATAAATCTGTAATGATTTACTAACTCATTTCTCAAGTTTGTACATTTAGATTGTTTCTGATGATGATTATTTAGATAATGTTATAATGAACATCTTTATGTATACATCTTTGTCCAACTTCTGATTCATTCCTAAGGATAATTTCCTAGGAGAGGATGCCTGATGCAGAGACAGACAATAAGCACATTTAAGATTCTTACTCTCTTTTGCCTCTCACACCTTCTATGGGAAGAAAACATGAAACCTTTCTCCATAAAGTTTGTTCAGATTTCCATTCTCACTACCTCTGTAGAGAGAGCACACCTTCATCTTACAGAATCCCCGTCAACACCGAGTATATGTTATTTCAGTGTTTGCTAATTTGATAGGTGAAATAATATTTTAATGTTTTAATTTTACTTATCTGATGGCTTATGTATTGGCTATTTTTTTAATTTATGAGCCATTTTTACTTTTGGGGGGGGTTCTGATTCTTTGTATGTTTTACTTATGAATTTATGTGAATTCTTCATGCCAAGGACACTATTTCATTGGCCCTACGCAAGCATTTTTCAAATTTTCACATCTCTGACTTTGGGATACATCTTACAATCAATTGCATCTTTATAATTGGAAGCATTTTTTTAAATTTCTTTTTGGCACAGAATATAATAGAGCATTTAACAGCCCTTGGCATCTTAGTCAATGGAATCTAATACTCTTTGTCAGCTATAGCTTTTGTTTTGGCTCTCTCTCCTCCATGTGTCCCTTCTGCTGTAACTCTGAGTCCATCTCCCAATTCCGGTCATCTCCCAGGAAGAATCCATTCATTATCGCACTTTCCCTTTTGCCCAGAGATCATTACCAGACCTACATTTTCAGATCCACCTGACCTTTCACTCTCCCGCAGTTTAAAAGCTTTCAGAAAGTCTCAAGCTATTTAAAGAGGTTAGTTACATGTGCCACTGTCCTCACCCTATCCTTTCCTTTTCACCTTCTGCCTCGTTTTCTCTCCTTGACTCTCTGTCACAACTAAAATATAGATATTGGGAGACTTTGGTTACCTTAATGGCACGCTCTTAATAGTTCTTAACTGCAATGAAGACTACTTTTACTGCGTGCTTTTTTTGCCCCTTTATTATTATCTTTCAAATGCACTTTCCATGTATTTCTGGCCTATTAAGGAACTCTTTAACATAGTTAATACTGTCTCCGTTTAAATACTTTATTCATGTTTATTTTTTTAATGAAAGGTAAATACCTACTCAATTGTCTGTGGTTTGCCGCATTTTCAAAATTTCAAACCCCTACTTCGTCTGGTCCCACCACATTATTTATAACCATTTCATAGTTATTTATAACTTATTTCATAGAGTTCTTTATTCTGCTTTGGAAAGCGCTTATTCTCAGTGTTTACAACTGGAAAACAATCCTATTTTTTTCCAATTGGAGCTTGAATTGACTCTTTGCTGGTTAAATTATTCTTTTCACCATAACATTGAATAGGCCTGGCCTCAAAGGTTAGGGTACCACAAAGCAAAGTCTCAATGGTCCATAAGAAAGGCATCTGGGGGCGCTGTTAATTAAAGTTAGATATGACTTTGTTTTCTGCTGCATGTTTTACTGATGTGAAAATTGAGCCAATGACTTTCCAACTCTAATACTGAGATCAAAATAATGCATCCCAGTAATTTCCTTTTATTTTTTTAATTGTTCAGGAATTTTATATATATATATATATATATATATAAAATATTTTATATTTTATATATATTATATATATGTATAGCTGGTATACAATCTTATATTGGTTATATTAGTTCTGGGTGTACAATATAGTGATTCAACATTTTTATACCTTACAGTGTGATCACCCCATTAATCCTAGCAATCACAATATTGTTGACTATATTCCCCTTCCCCTTTGTCCCCATCCCCCACTCCTGGTAACCATCCCTTTGGTTTCTGTTCAAACCAAACCAACCAAGCAAACAAACAAAAACAGACTCATAGAAACAGGAATTTCCTCTTAAGAAAACTCCGCCCCAAAGGATCACAGCTGTTAGTATTTTATAAGCATGTTCCTTACTTTGTCACCTTTTATTCCTGGTTTACCGCATTCTCCGGATGCACCCTAAAAAATAAATAAATGAAACAAATAAGAGGCCACTTGCTGTCATTCAGTGTTAGGATTTTCTTTAAGGATTCCCAGCAGAGTCTTATGACACAGCACTCTGACGGATTATACCCAGTTTAATCCTCAATCCTGTGGGTTGTTTGGGCATTGGACTCTGAGAAATTTTATCCATGAGTCACCTTTGACTCTTTGACTTGACAGAATCAAATCAGTGATGCCACCTAATGAGGCTTAACATTTTTGAGAGATGGATGAAACTGAAAGAAAAGAAGCTAAGGTTGACTGAGCATCTACCGTGGATTATATGCCCTTTGCATGTGTGATTAAATTGAATCCACAGTACAGCCCAATGAGATCAGTTTTACAATTCCTACTTTATAGATGAGAAAACTTAAAGCTCAGCAAGACTTCTTTCCATCAGAGAGCTAGTAAGGAGAATCAGGGTCTGAACCCAGGTCTACCTTGACTCAGAGTCCCTTTTGTTCCCACAACACCAAGCTCCAGCCCCAGTACCAACTTTGACCAAGTAGTAGCTTTTGCCTAGAGAGTGTGAGGGGAGAGTCCTGAGACCATGTCCCGCCTTGGTAGGGAAAGGAGCCTTTGTTAGCAAGGCCTGCTGTGAGAGACAGCGGGGCACGGTGGCCAGCACACTATGCATTTTCCATCATCATTCTTCACGGCCCTGCCTTTCCTGGAATAGTAACCAAAAAAACTGACGTATAAATTATGTTTCACAGTTTATTATTAATGTTATTTTACAGAAATTATCTCAGTTAATCTGAAACCATCTGTCTGGGGTAGATATGACTAGCCCAATTTTACAGTCTAAAATTTTGTGACTCAGTTTTGCTCAGGACTTCTAATACGTGAACTAAAATGTAACAGAGTCGATTCGAATAACAACGAACGTTAGAATTTCAAAGAGCTTTCGTATATATATTCTGAGCCTCAGAGCAATTCCTCTTTTTAAGATAAGGCAACTCAGTCCTTTGGAGATTTACTGAAATATATGTGCTAGCCAATGACTCCTAGTCCACTGCCCTCACCACTAGTTTCTGCTTCTATTGGTGCTTTATTTTCTGTGTGCTGCTCAAGGCATGCTGCTCAAAGTGCCACTACACAATGACAAGGAACTTGCACTAAAATGTACTTTAGTGCCCTGCTTCCTTCACCAAGGACATCTTGCTATGAAAAATAAATGTCAGCTGAACTAAACAGTATACATAGCGATCTAGTGGATTTATATTCTGGTGCAAGCTTTATCTTATCACAAAATAGCAACAAACATTTCACGGATTGACAGCCAGCCTGCCCACACTTTGAACAGCGCTGCTCCAAGAAGGGAGATCACAACTGTAACCACCAACTGTGGATGCAAAGTATGTGCCAAAGCCTTTATATCACTGCTAATCCCCATGCCAGCCTTGCAAAGGAGATATATCTCCATTCACAGATAAGGAAATTGAGGCTCAGAGAGATTGAGTAACTTGCCGATGACCACAAAGTGATTCTGTTAGACTCTCAGGCCCATGTTCTTCATTAGCCACTCAAAGTTGAACAAAACACACTGCCGTGATCCACAAGTCCCTTTCCACTGACTCGACACTTCTGCCTAGGGTGCTGCACAGGGTATTGCTGGCATGGGAGCAGGAAAGAGGGATGTACAATCCTTAGATCCAGCTATGCCTCATTCAAAAGCAATCTATTCTCTCCCCACATAATGTGAGTCAGACTGACCCAGGAAAACCTGAGCTTTCACTTCGAACAAGCCAAAGATTTATTATTGCAAGTGGAAAATCGCTCTTGAAGAATCCATTAGGAAGCAATTAATTTAATAATGTTGGGTGGGAATAAAATGAGTCAACCACCAAAATATAAAACAGAAAGAGCCATAAATACACTCAAAATGATTTGGGCCAGAATTCACATTCCATTAGTCCGGACAGATTGGTTAGCTATAGGGTCCTGAGGAACAGCATTTGTTTGGGGCGGGGGGCAGATTTCCATCAATGAAAATATTGTACTCATGTTATTTGCCTCTGCAAAGGCGTTTTCTTGTTTGATGGGCTCATTAATCCCTGTGGAATGGCCATAATTACACAGTTCCAGAGAGCAAGTGCCTCAGAAGGCTATAAACAGATTAGCTCTGTTCCCAGCCTCCGACTCCTGACGCTGCTGTTCCTGCTGAAATTCTGCTTTGAATGTCGATAGGTCAGGGTTACTGTGCTCTGACAGCCTGTACTTTCCAGTGAGATCTCCAATGAATCTATAATTCCCCAGAAGTTTAAATGAATATTTTCATATATAAATTATATATATGTATGTGTGTGTGTGTGTGTGTGTGTATAATATTTATATATATATCTTCCTGGTGTTGATAGTCAGCTCACTGTATAATTCAGGGTGGGGTGGGAGCATTCATAATTTTTCTCAGCTATATAGGACAATTTTGTAATCATGGGACTTTTTAAACTTTCCCACATTATCATTTACTTCCTATCTCTTCCTAATATCACCTTACATTCACAGACCAACAAAAAGTTTACAAAATATTGTCACGCCCATTATTCCGTTTGATTCTCTGAAGGTCAGGGAGGCCTGTGCTAACCTGGTTCTATGTGGATGATGAACTGGACACTCCAAGAGGCTGAGTCACCCAGGCCCTTATGGCTAAGGGCAGAATCACCGCATTTCTTACACTCTTCCTCTTTTAGGCTTAACATCTCCAGTCATTGGGGATACATTTATTTTCCTATATGAAGGTTTACCCCAAATGTTTGCAGGGCCTAGGGATGAGGACAAGCAGAGGCCATATACTATATACCTAAAAAGTAGGAAGTTATAAATCAAGCTAAAAAAACTCGTCACATTCTAGCTTCCTTTCTTGACAAATAGACCTCCAAAGGAAATTTAAAAACCATAAATTTTGAGGTTCTTCAAAGGCCTATGCAGGAGTAAAGCCCCAGCCTAGAGCCCAGCCCCCCCTTCACTTCCCACCCCCAGCTCCTTCCACAGGGAGAGATGCTGTGAGTGTACATGAAGGTGCCCACACAGCACAACAGAGGTCCCTCCACGGCCCCCTCCTGCTTGAGCAAACAGCTGCCATTTGGTTATCCCTCAGGCCTGGGAAAAAGATGAGCATGGGAAAGAGGTTTGTGTATGTCTTCAGAGCAGGCTCAGACCATTTTGCAAGGACTTTCTGTATCTTGGTTATCCAAAGCATGATCTAGGCGGAGGGGGCACAGGCCTCTTGCCTTGCGAGTCCTGACTCCAGGTGTGTGTGCGGGGGGAGGGGAGGGCAGGAAACCCAGAGCAGCACCCTCTAAAGTGCAGGCCTCTTGCCCACATCTGAGGGTTTTACCACCTGTAGGACAGAATGGATGGTAGGGACATGTTCAGATTTCAGACAGAAAATCTGATAATAGAACAATGGCAGATTTATTAATGAACCTTTGAGCACTCCAAGGTTCCTGAGCTCCAGTCCAACTTGTTTATTTCTTTTGAATCAGAATGTTAATTTCTTCTGAATTAGTTTGATTAGTTTCCTAATTTGTAATTTGCAGATAATCTACCAACCCCTTCCTGTTGTTAGTTTGTTTGTCAAATTTATCCCCCCTTACAATCTCTACCCAGATGCCTAACTGAAGGAAGTCAGTGGTTCTTCATGCCTAACCAGGATAAATTCTCTTTCTCCCGTAAGAGGGTTGGATTTCTAGGTTTTATAGGAAGTTAAACACCAAAGGAGCAAACTAGTTGCAGTATTTCTGCATCCATTTGTACACTGAAACTTTTAGTCTGGATACCTTTGCTGCACGGCTGTTAACCTGGGGTTCTCTGTTCATGTCTACAGAGCTCAGAGAAACTGGATACCAATCTCAGTAATCTCAAGGCACCGCCTGCCCCTTACAATACACACCCATATATTAAGTTATTATTTTGTGTCAGCAGAGTTGAGTATATTTACGAATTAGGGACTCTAGACTTACAGAAATGAAGGAAAGTAACTTTTATTCAGCACATAAATACAGTGATGTTTCTTTTTTGTTTCTGGAATTCTGGTCTATTTCTTATTACAAACTTACCTTCTCACCCTTGTACCCAGGAATTCCCTAATTAAAACGAGGAAAGAAAAAGTAAAATATGATATTAGAAAACATAGTTGGAGGAAGCATTTGATGTTTTTCATTTATAGCATATAACAAAACACATCTTGTACAGTTTTGAAAAATAAGACCATTTAGATGTAGGCTGTTTCACTTTGCACTTAGGGAATGTACATTTACTCGGGAGAAGAAAAGAACCTATTTTTCCTTGTATCACATTTATTCTCAGTTCCAGGTATTTTTTCAAACCCAGTTTCTTACCCTTTGGCCTGAAGCTGAAGGAGAGACTATACACTGAAACTCATTGTAGAAGTGAAGACCTGTAACAGTCCTTTCAAATTGTTATATTTGAACTATCACAGCTGACAATGTTTCACAGTGACAGGTACAGAAATTGGCTTTGAGAATGAGCTGGGATAATGTCCTTTAAAATGTCCATAAATATTTATATTTTCTTTTTTTTAAATATATCTTTATTGATTTCAGAGAAAGGAAAGGAGAGGGGGAGAGAGAGAAACATCAATGATAGGAGAGTCACTGATCGGCTGCCTCCTGCACGCCCCTAAATGGGGACCGAGCCCGCAACCCGGGCACGTGCCCTGACCAGGAATCGAACCGAAATCTCCTGGATCCTAGGTCGAAGCTCAACCGCTAAGCCACTCCCAGCCAGGCAATATTTATATTCTTTATGCCCCCCACTTTCAAATTCGGTCTAGAATCTAAACATCAAGCAAATGAATGGTTCCTTTTTCAACCCTAATGAGTCAGTGAGCTTTAAGTGACTACATTTTATCTCATGCTAAATAAGGAGCCAGAGCTTCTGCTCCTGTTGGCCTCCCTTGGGAACCCTACACAGCCCTCTCCATGTGTCACTGCCTATAAGCCCTTCAAGTAATATGATACTGAATGCTAAAGGCACTGGGGAGTTACAACTTCAAGCAACACGTTGCAAGTCTTTTTCAAACAGGATTTCATGTCTTCACACACCTGTAGTTTTCAAGTATGAAAATAGAATTGAAAGACATATTTTAAGTGGGCTGGAGAAACTAGTGGAATAGGCAAGCTATTCTTGCAGTTACATGTGGGTCAGCCAACAAAATTTTGTTCTGTGTGTGACTTTGTTACAGAAAGTAAAAAGGACAACTCCGAGAAGGAAATAACACTGCTCACGAAGGAGTGGTCACTGAGAGATAGAAGATAGAAATAGAACTAGTCCAATATATTGTTGCTACAATTTAATCCATTTTTGGAAATATTTATTCACATAAATGGTTTAATTTTTAGTATGGTGCCCAGCTCTGTCCAATATAATGGGAGCCCCAAATGGAAGCCCCATATGTAATTCTAAATTTACCAATAGCCACATTAAAGTAGCAATGAACAGGTTAAATTAATTTTTAATAATAGAATTTATTTGTCCCGATAGGTCCAAAATACTGTCATTTCAGCATGTAATCATATAAGAAATATTGATGAGATGTTTTACATCTTTTTTTGGCTGCTAGGTCATGAGAGATACACACCATCAAATCTGGCATGTGTTTTATTTCTAAAGCACACCACAATTCAGGCTAGTTGTATTTTGGCTGCTTAGTAAGCCCAGGTGGCTACTGGCTTTCATTATCAGCCAGAGCAGCTCTAGCCAATGTCCCTGTTATTTCTCATGTGAGCTGTAGCAACAAACTTTATAAGTGCTTCTTTCTTCTGCTTATTGCAACTTCAATTTCTCTTTTAGAGCCATGCCAGACTAATCTTCCAAACACATAACTTTTGGGTCATCTGCCTCATCTGAAATCTTGGGGAAGTACCCATTACCTATAGAAACCCAGACCTTACAACTGGAATAGTGCACCCACTCTGACCTTCCAGCTGTGTCTGACAATACTCCTCTTCAGGCACCCTCTCTCACCATTTTCCCATACATTGCCTTCCCTCTGACTGCTGCTCAGGGTCCTCTCCATCTGGAACCTTCCTGTTCTGTCTTTTCCTCTCACAATACTACCTCATTTCAGGGGTCATCCCGTAAAATCTATCCTGACAACTCCAGTCTCTGAATTCCCGTAATATTTTGTGCATGCAATTCTCACAATATTTTTTTTTTAATATATTTTTATTGATTTCACAGAGAGGAAAGGAGAGGGAGATAGAGAGAGAGAAACATCAATAATGAGAGAGTCATTGATCGGCTGCAGCCCACAACTCGGGCATGTGTCCTGACCGGGAATCTAACCGTGATCGCCTGGATCCTAGGTCGACGCTCAACTGCTGAGCCACTCCCGGCGGGGCTCTCACAATATTTTGACACCCTGCTTCATATAGTGGCTATTTTAAATATCTTCTCTCTCCCATGAGATAATAAACGTTGCAAAAATATAAGTGCTTTGTCTTAATTTTATTTTCACTTAATAGCATGCTTTATGTATAGAAGATAATTAAGAAATGTTTCCTGAATAAGTTACACAAATTTCTGAATGAATTTCCATTGAAATTACCACTTTCTATCAGACTTTTTCATGAAGTTGTTTAAAAACACCAAGATAACAGTTTTTAAAACCTCTGGGTCCGAGACTAGAGCTTTCACCCCAGGAGACAGACTGAGAGTATAATGTGGCCTCCTTTTGCTCACTGTATACTTCTGTGCTATTTGCTACATTGCTGTAACTCCCCAGAAAAATGCAAATGAAAAATTTTTCTGTAATTATTTCTCATACAATTTCTGATAACTTCTAATTTTAGGGATAATCAATCAACTAAAATTATCTCTCTCCTCTCTGTTTTCTTCCCATCTATACAATTGAATTTACAAAAGCATAGTTTAGATTATATAATTGTTATGGTCCCAGAATTTTAATATCATCTTTATTGAAAGAACAACACAAGAAGTAAAGCAAGATATTTCTCTTATTTGAGCGTTTCACAGAGGTCAAGTTTAGTATTAGGGAATGTCATGTGGTTGACCACTCATCTCATCATCACTCCAGTTAGACAGAGTATTTTCTTCTCACATTTCTACTTCCAGGATCATATCTGTCTGACTGCTTCCCTGAGACATCACTAGCACATGTAGATAGAAATCAGTTTTGTATTTTTACTCCAAGGGTCAAAATGATCAATTCCAGAATCTTAGCACCCTGGGATTACTTTCTTAGAAAGGCAATCCAGTTGTGTACATACCCCTGGGCCTCTTTCTCCAGGTTCCCCTTTCTGAGCATCACCCTGTGACAAACAAAAAACTCAGTCAGAATTCCACAGCCATGCAGAGGACTCATTGCTCAATAAAATGCATTATTCAGAATTCCCGGATTAATAAGTGAAGCCAATTGTGGGGGGAGGGAATCTTTGGTCTTTCCCATTGACATTTTCTCCATGCAATCTGGGGAAGAAAATAGCAGCTCTGATAGCCTTTGCCCTTTGGAGTGAAGCCAGATGTAGAGGGTGCGGAGTCCAGGTACATTTTCACAGCTTAGACGAAGTCTTGCATTCCAGTTTAACAACATGGCCATTGTTCTCAAATATAGCACTGTACCCACTGGAAGCCAGCCACTCTGGCTTTTCTCCAAGGGGCTTTGGAATGTTTTCCAAAATGTCCTAAAGAGTGATTGCTTGACTTCAGCAAGACTTAGGAAAATATATATGGTAACACAAAATTACAAGCCAAATAAATGAAATTCGAACATAGACTTATAACAGGTATTTAACAAAACAAAAAGACATGATGGCATTAATTTCAATCCATATAAGGTGAGTGAATGTAGGTATGTGTTAGTGTGTGTTGTAAAGCCACTCAAAGATGCTTTACATTCCCTTTCTTTGACAAGCATGCAATTGGCAAAAATACCTTCATGCATCTAACTTATTATATTTTTCATTATTTCCCTACGCATATTCTCAGAAATCAAGTATTGGGTTAAATTTTTGAATATTTGAGTGCCTTTTATGTAGTGCCTAATTGTTTTCCAAAATTTGCCACATTACCTTTGCAATAAAGAGCAAACCAGTTTCGCCACCATATTGCTATCACTAGTTATTATTTTTTTAATATTGCTGTGTTAACTGTTATAAAAAGTAATGCTATTTTAAAATTTGAAACACAGAATAAACCAAATTATGTGAACTAGAAAATTGATCTCCTCCCTGCGTCAAAATACAAGCCAACCACCCTGGACTCCAAAGTTCCTGCAATATGAATAATTAGTATTAAAGGGTACCTCAGTGTCTCTATTTTAAATTTCATTTATTACATAGTGAAATTAAGTGGTTTTCTATTTCTTTATTTACTAGTTTTATTTCCTCTCTTGAAAATTATTTGTGTTCTTTGACCATTTAATTATTAGAAGCTTCATATTTTCTCACCCATTTTATTGTCTTTATGTACTACAGAAATTAACCCAATGTCCATTGTATTTGGTGAAAACATTTTCCTATATGTTTCCCTCTTTATTTTAATTATTACTTTTGTATTATACATAATTTAGCCTTAAGTTTTCACATAGTTATATCAGCTAATCTCTGTCTTGTGATTCCTTCAGTCACTTTAAAGCTTGGAACACCATCATCCTGACAATTATCTGAGCAGATAATTAAAATAATATAGAATTTTTTGATAGGTATATGAAGAAAATAATTGAGGAGATGCCTGAAGAGTGAGAGACAACCTGGAGTTTTTCTATTATTATTGTAGGTCAATTATCTACAAAGTAGATCCATAAAAAACATGTCTTAATAATTCATAGACATTGTACTAATTAATTTGGGACACCATTATTTAATTATAAGTTTCTATTTATTGGGTTCCAAGGTTTCCTAAACATATTGACTAAACTGGTCATATGTTACTCAGAATTTGTAAATGCAAATTAACAAAACCAGATAGCTAAAGTAGGAAATGAACATCTTGTATTTTTCACAGAAATCATAAGGTTTTTGGCATTGACATATACTGCAATGCTCTTAATTTTTCTTAATTTTTGTTCTTTAAATAAATTTAGAAGACACACTGGTTTAAAGGAAAGCTGTTTATTCATTTACCGGGTTGCCTTTTGGTCCTCGCTCACCTTTGATACCTGGGTTCCCATGGGTACCCTGAAGACAAAGAGAAAAAAGATTGTATTGAGCAGCCATTCTGTTAGTTTTCTATACCTTACAATAATTTCTGATCAGCTTCATCCCATAAAATGGGGGAAGATTGTAAAAAACAAACAAAAACCTTTACCTACCAAGAAGAGAGTCAACTCTCTTCTCTCCTTTCCTACATATTAGGAAGGCTGCACTCTCTTGAATAGGAAGATTCTCCAGATTATCCAAAAGAGGATAACATCTTTCTCTCCTTGATATCCAAGGGACAATCTCAAAAGACGAAAGAAGAGAGTCCTCCAAATCTTATTCCAGAAAGGCACTTCGTTTTCCTACTCTCAACCCATCAAAAAGCTCACTTTTCTGAGAACTGGTTTTGGGGGCACCCAATAAATGTTACATAATACAGTTCTATAGCTGTCATTATTATTATTTTTTAAAATATCTTTATTGATTTCAGAGAGAGGGAGAGATAGAAACATCAATGATGAGAGAGTCATTGATTGGCTGCCTCCTGCACGCCCCCCCCACTGGGGATCAAGCCCAGAAATTCTGGCATGTGCCCTGACCCTGAATCACACCGTGATCTCCTGGATCATAGGTTGATGCTCAACCGCTGAGTCATGCCTGGGGGTGGGGGTGGGGGGTGCTGTCCTTATTAAAAAATGGGACTAGCTCTTCTAACAATATTGCTCCACTAAAGCTGTCAGGTTAGCTCAGCTATGGCAAGTTTTGTTACTGTTCATTCTAAAACAACTGACTATCACAAGTAAACCTTCCACTGGTGATCCCTTGGTGTAATAAGTATAAACTAAGACTTTATGAGAAGGAAAATTTAAGCCTTTGCTTTGGCTAAAGTTAGATTCTACTGGCTGTCACATCATTATCATGTAATGTATCAAACTTTGTATTTTGAAGAAAAAGACAAACAATCCCATTATCTAATTGATTGGGAGGGAGGGTTGAAAAAGTACAGCCTTTGGACTCAAGTCTCAAGGTAAAATGAGTCATAGTCCAAGAAGTTCACAGCACACATTTCCCTTCCCATCCCCCAAATACAAGTGTTAGTTCAAGCATTTTATCTCCACTGTGCTTCTGAACATCGAGGTTTGGAATCACATAAATCACATGAAAAAAGAAGCATGAGTGCTTTCTGATGATCTGGTGTTAGAGAAATGTTCAGCATCTCCAGTCATCACGATATCATTCCATGTCACAGAATTCACTCCATCCCCAGGGCTTCCTGACCAGAGCTTCCTCCGCACAAAGCCACAGGGTATTGCCCTTGCTTGTTTCTAGGTGGACCAAACAAAGCTTTGCCTAAAGCACTGAGGATTTGGATGATCTTTCTATATTTTCACTTCAGTATTGAGAAATTCTGGCACCAGTTGCCACATGAGAAGTGATGCTGAAATAACCTTTGTGGGAACAATTTCAGCATTCTAAACCAAATCTGCCCTTGGCTCAGGCCAGTAAAATCCCAGGATTATTATTCCTAAGGACAGAAGGCATCCCTTTAGGAATAAAAGAGAGAAAGCATTTCCCTTTTTGCTGCTCTTTGCACTCCACTGCTTTTCAACCTTGCCAAAAGCCCTGGTATTTTCAAGTATGAGGAGAGTGATCATCATTGGGACTTCCTGACCTGACCCTAAGTTCAAAGAAGAAATATACTCACCGGAAGCCCTGGATCGCCTCGATCCCCCTTCTCACATTCACAGATTTTGCGTTCACACTGAATCATTAACGAAATACAATATTAACACATCATGAAAGACAACATTTCAAATCTTATCCAGTACATTACTAAATGGAACACTCCCTTGAAGAAATTTATGGAAATTTTGCTCTGCTTATTAAATTCTTCTAGGAAAACTCAGATCTCATAAGAACCAGCTAATAAAGTATTATTAAACATTGCCATGGTTAAAGAGACCTCCTATCAAATATAGATATATAAAGCATCTAGTTGCCAGTTTAAAAAGGGGAAGATAAATACTTTCGGTGGACTCGGGATTTCTGCTGTTTCTCTTTTATATAACACATCAAAGCTCAATAATATGCAAATATCAAATACTCCTTTACTCAGCAAAGGAAGACATTTGACTTAAAACATATTTAATCAATTCTAAGATGCACATTTTTCTTTATTATAACATCTCTGAAATCAGAGTGAGCCCAATCCTGATGAAGCTGCTATTTTCTGCATTTACACTTCAAAACTGACAGAATGAATGGAAGAAAACTCCAGAGGCACAACTGCAGCACTCTTAAGAAATGCTGTATCACCAGTGCTTTTGATGGAACAGAGGCCGATATTTTATAGAAAAACAAGTCCATCAATGACTCTGAGACAAAAGGTGAGTCAGAAGATTCAGACTCTGAACGTGAAGATGTTTTAGAAATAACCAATTTAGTTTGCTTGTATTTTCTCCTATATGTATGTACAAAAGGGATACAGCATTTAAAAATCTGTATCTAAATAAACCTAAAAGGACTCTTCACATAAGTTTAAAATGAAAAATCATAATTAATAAGGCATTGTATCATAGTTTAATCACCAAAGTTTGTTTGTTTGGTTTTTTGCCTTAATGGCACATAAAACAATAGTATATCTGACCACATATAATTCAATGAAATGTGCTCTACAGGTTTGGTTGGCTCCTATTATTTCATGCAATATTTTGTGTAAATTTTCTGATGTTAAATAAGCAGTTTATAGAACAAAGTTTAGATGTTCCAAACTCATTGCATTAGGAAACACATGTTCACTACAGGAGACCTCAGCAAGCTGATGGTCATCTATTGTACTAAGTACTATCCAACCAATATTGGTCAGCTTTCTCTGCCACTTGGCCTGGTTGCCACCATCAGGAAGAATGAGCTTTAAGTCAACCAGCAGGTGGCAGGGGGAGACTCTGAGCTCTGTCTCTTAGCCAGGAACACTCTACCTAACCCTGGCCAACACCAGGCACACCTCCTCAAGTGGAGGACCCCTCCCACACTCCCCCACCCCCAGTAGTTGATGTCAGAGACATGCTTAGAATAAAGGAAGTCATATCAAACTTGGCAAAAACTATGTCATTTGGTTATCATTAATTTCTGAAATCGGTCTCTAAAATCACATTAAATTTTTTTCTAATATTCCAACCTGCATTGGATATGGTGGCCTAAAAAAATCAGATGGTGGCCTAGAAATAGAGTGGCTCTTTTTAAAAAGAGTTAAGCATTTTTATTTAGTCACACCTAACTTCTAATGTGAATTATAGTGCTGATTTGATCATTCGAGCTTTTAGAGTTATTCAAAGCAAGTAGTACTTACCTTCTTTTCAAACAAGATCTCCTAGGAGGAGAAAAAGAATGAAACATTAACTCAATTCATGGTTCTGCCTCCAACTTCTCATTAGTCTTAATTATTCTCTATGGGATATGCAATTTCCAAGAAGAATAGCAATTCAGCCTTTTTAACCTTGTGAAAGCGATGAAGCCTACCAGCCAACCACCCAAGGAATACTCTGAGCCACATAATAACAGGAGACATGAAGGGCACTAACATTAAAAGTTATTCTGTTTTCTGGCAACTTTACCCTATTGCCTCCTATGCTTCTCTTTGATTTCCTTTATCAGCTCTATGATCTGGCTAAAAGCTTAATTTGGTTACAAGTTTAATCAGTCCTAATGAGAAATTTTTTACTTTTAGTTACAAAGACTTAGGCAGAATACATAATTGTGTATTTTCTCTTTTTATTTTTCCATCCCTAAACATATATGTGTTTGTTTGGAAACATTAAAACATTCGTCTTAAGGTTGTAACTTCATGAAATATTAATGAGCGAGCCTTAGAAGTCAATCATGTTGAACCTCTCATTTTGCAAAGGACGCTAACTTAGTCTGCAGTGTTGTGACGTGTCCACGGTCACACACTTAGGGCTGAGCTGCCTGACCAAGTTCAGTGCTATCTCAGACTTACCCACACAGAAATGAATTAGCCAGAGAATTTTTCAAAATTACTTTAAATTCCTAATTTTAGAGAAATTCACAGTCTTGTAGCCCAATATCTAGGCCTCATTACCTTACTATACAGTTCAGTGGATATTATTTGACAAGGGCACTGAAGGCTATGTCTTAAGTCAAACCCTGGGAAAAAATTAACCTATGTTTACAGATAGAATTAGTGCTTTCTTAGAATAGGTATTCTAAGTCAAATTAATGCCTTATGATTGACTCAGAAGGAGTAACATACATATGATAAAACAGAAAGCAAAAGTAAAAAACACTAGAATATTCATTGCAAGATATTAAAAATGAAGAACATAATGAGGAAATTAAAGATAAGTCAGAGTTATACTTTTATGGAGGATTCCACATCCCTGTAGTTTTGTTTCGACTTTATTTTTATATACATTAAGACTAACAATAGAGAGAGAAGATATAGCAAAATGCTTTAAGTAGCTCAATTTAACTCTGAGAGGAAAAATTAGGCTGGGAATTAAGTGTCCTCCATGGTTTTCTTTCTGTTTCCACCATTAACTGCTCATGTGGACTTGGGCAAGTCATTTTCTACACATATAAATGAGAAAGTTTGACCACACAGTTTTTGGACCTGAAAAGCTCTGTCCACAGACCCTATACAAAATTCAAGGTCTCACCTGTGGTCCTCTTTCCCCCCTTCCTCCACCCCTTCCCAACCCAATGATTTAAAATCACTAGCCAGTGCAAGTCCAGGCTGAAAGCACATGATGTCTTAAAGGTGTATCTTCAAGATCTAGCAGGTCATGTGGAGAAATGGGAACGCAGGTACAATGGGAGCCTCAGTGTAAAATGACCTTGGGCTGTGCCTGGAATGCTGAAGATGTGCATACTTTATCTCCAGGCTGCCCAGGACAAGTCCTTGTTTGCACCTATTGTCCTGACAAACTTCCCAGATATAGCCTAGAGAAATTCTTGTGCATTTCAGCATTCATTGCTTTTAATAGTGAAAAATTGGGAGTAATTAAAATATCCACCAGTAACGGAAGGGATCAATAAATGAAATACTATTCGGCAGGTAAAGTGAATGTATTGGATCTACGAATTTCAACATTAAAATAAAATCTCAAGAACATTGAGTGAAAAAACAATGTGACCCAAATTATGAAAATATTTAAAACATGTCACAAGCTTGGTTTCTTCTGGGAGAAAGAGAGGGAAAAGGAATTTGAAAGGAGTTCAAGAGAGACAATAAAACAACTTATAATACAAGTCAAATTGTAGTATTTGAGAACAACTAGTGAAATAAAGGAATATTCAAATTTTTTCACTTTACAATCCTTTTATAATAAGCAGTGTCCTTATCAATTTTAAACTCATGAATTTAGCTGCTACTGTGCCTGATGTGTAATTTCTTGCTTTTCTAGCTCTTCCTTTGAAAATTCAATTTCCGCTATCTAAAAATGTGTGCCATGAGGATTAAAATCATAACAACACAACTAACTAATTATTTTTGGAACTCATTTGATTTTGTGTTTGTTGGAATTTATATTTCTATGGAAACAAAAGTGGACCCAGAACTGCACAATAGATGAGACTGTTTGAAACAATGAACAAAGCTCCATCCCTAAGGGCACTTATAGCCTTAAGCCCCAGAGCCAGAAAACAGTTCAGAGCAACCAGCGTGTGGGAAGATCCTGGATTGGGGGGGTGCTAACAAGATAGTTTCTCGGAATAGGTGGATTTGCTGGGTAATTTTGAAAGGAGGAATGCAAAAGACCAGCTCTTTGATGGAATGCTGTTCTATATGTCAAAGTTTATGAGGAAAAAGTCATAAAGACTTGTGTGGGCAATAAGACAAAAGAAGCAGTAAGGAAGGACATTTAAAAAGAGTGGACGGAGAGGCCCACATGGACAGAGCTGGAGACCTTGGGATGCAGTGGGAGCTTTCAGTTGGGCTGAGCGACAGGATGTGTGGAGAATGTGGGAAGCCAGAGGGAAGGGCATGTTCAATTAGGGTCCAGGCAGACGCTGTATTTTAATGAAAAGTGTAGATAAAGGCCCTTACTAGGTCAAAAGGAAGTGCATTTTATTAATGGAGCCAGAGTTTTGTGATGGCATATATGTGTTAGGAGAAAGGAATTGCTAACTTTGTGAACGACTGTGAGGTCAAGGGAAGAGAGGAAATGTGAGGAAGCTGCAAAAGTTATAGCATGACAGCAAATGGCATGAAAATAAAGAACTCAGTAGGCAAGGATCACAAGCTCTATGACAAAACAAATATTTGCAGCTTTAACAAAATAGAAAATCTTAAAGAGGACAGAAGTAAGGCTCTAAAGAGAGGAAGCCTTGAAAAACTGGGAAGTGGGCTAGAATTAATAAATTAATAAAGCATAGGATTCTAAAGATGACACAGCAATTATCAAGTTGTTCTCTTTTTATGATGTAAAGAAGCGGATACACTAAACTGATGTTTTTCTTAATAATCTTCAGAGAAGGAGACAAATTTGACACAACCTTTATTCCCATAAAGGCTTTTTATAAATTTAACATCAAAGGTGGTAGAGTGAAGAATTTTTTTTCTCTCTGCATACTGTTTCTTGCTCTTCTAAAGGACCAAGTATGATATCTGGGAGATTGGGCTGAGTTTCTTAGGTTTCAATACTGTTATGTAAACCATCATAAAGTAGCAATAAAAATATTTTCCACTTTAGAATCACAGGTCTCTCCTGAGTGATTCGGAACTGTAATGTTTTCATGGGGTTCTTAAACTACACTTCCTACTAGAGCTGTTAAGGATGTGCAATGATTTCCTGAATTTGTCTTGACTCCTACAAAATCTATTCATGGTGGACACTCATGTCCATAAATTCAACTAAAGTCTACCCTGCAATAAAAGGAATAAAGTGCTGATACAAAAAGCAGCCCAGATGAATTTTAAAATCATTATGCTGGGAATAAGAAGCCTGACACAGGAAGGGCGCACACTATATGAGTTTGTTTACATAAAATTCTAGAATGTGTACACTAATCTAGAGTGAGGAGTCAACGTCAGCAGCTCGGGACATGGGAAGAATGTATTGCAAAGATGCATGAGAAAACTTTGGAGGTGCTAGAAATGTTCTATATCCTACTTGTGTTGTGGTTTCCTCGGTGTATACATCTATCAAAACTCATGGAATTGTGTACTTGAAGTAAATGCAGTTTTGTACAGAAATTATACCTAATTAACTTATTTTTTAAAGTCAACTACATAATTATTTCAAAATAACAAGTTTAAAAATCCAGCTAATGATGTAATAAAAATAAATTAGATGAGCAATTTTGCCAGTGGTTTGATCAAAAGTCAAGTTCTGCCTCCCAAAAGTGGCGATTCGAAACATTGAAACTTGGTAGATCTTTCTTTGAAGAGCCTGATAAGCCCTTTGGATTCTGGAAGTATTTGGAAAGCAGCGCCTCCTTCTAAGAAGTGGCTTGTTCACAGAGCTTCCATCTGAACAAACAAGCTGAAATCACGTTAGGACGCTGGGTCATTTTTTGGTTTCCCCAGAAACGAGCAAACAGTCTCGCTTCGAGCCTCCTGCCAAGGTCCTGTTCTCCGCTGCGCAGGAGCTCTTGGTGAGGGTGCGCCTGGAGGGAGCAGGAACTCCTGAGCTTTCGCATCTGGCCAAACAAGGAGCTGCCTGTCCTGCATCTTCTACAGCCAGCAACGGGCAACTCATTTTCACACCCCCAGAGTTCTCTCCTGCACATACTGGAACTTTCTGTTTTGGGTTCACTGGTGAGGACTCCTTAAATTACCACACAAGCAGGACAAGGCAGTTAGCCAGGCACCCTGCACAGCTCCCTTTCACACAAAAGAGCAGCTCACAGGAAGCATTCACCCCAAGCTGCTATTTCTCCTCAACAAGACTTTACAGGGTTAAGCATGCAGGCTGAGGTCTTTTCCCAGCCTTAAATTTTCAATGATAGAATGATGATAATAACAGTATCTACATCACAAGATTATTGTAAATAATGAATAAAAATATGTAAAGTGCTCTCAGAACAATGCCTAATACACAGAGCGCTCAAGACATGATAATTATCATTTAGATAAGAAAAACTCAGGGTCTCGTGCTGAAAACAACTGAGTAAAAAATTAAGAGTAATGTTGGGGAAAAGACTGGAGGAAGGTACAAAGGAGCAAAACAATCTCTGAAATGGAGCTTGAGGGGTTTTTCCAACCTATACAAAACAGCAATATGAATGCTCAGTACCCGCAGGACACAGTCTTGCTCTCTTCTTGAGAAATCAATGAAAATCAATATTTTTAAGGAAATCAATTTTTAACACTTAACGAATCAACCACTTTTTCTCCAGGGGTTATTTCCTTGAGAAATATTGTGAAGGATTTTGTTTTGATTGCTTTGTCTTGTGTTTTACCAAGTAGCAAGGAAAGGTTCTAACACACAGCTGAGCAACCAACCCATAAAGAAAAAAGCACTGACACAGCCAATCAGACCAATCAAGAGGGGCTTATTGAGCTGATGGGAGAAAGTGTTGGGTGACTGCAGGTTGTAGGTGATTTTACATTGAGTGACTTTGTTAACACCTAAGAAACAAGGAGATTTTTTAATTGGAAGTCTATGAGCATAATATGGCAGTAGGTAAGACAAAGTCAAAAAATATTTCTGCACATGTGGAAAGGGAAAAAGGTCAACTTAATACAAAGATAGCAGGCCATAAGTTGACCACAAATTGAGTCTAAGTCAGCAGTGTTCAATGAGCCCAGGATGTCTGAGGTGCATGATGGAAATTAATCCTTAAATCCTAAGCATTGGCAAGCAATAAAGTTAGGAATGCTATTCCAGAGAATGAGCCTGGTACTTCCCAAGTTTATCTGGTATAAACTATCAAGGAAGTAAAGAGAGACTTCGGAAAGATTCTTCTTTCTAATTCCAAGGTGGATTTTTTTTTCCTTTCACTTTTTTGACCCAGTATATATTCTTACAGAATTTATAATCAAAATATTACTATTATAATGAGAAGTATGTATACAAACCAACCCATTAGATACCTACCAGGCGATCCTGAATTTTATCTTCAAGGTTTGGATCACTCAACAGAAGAATGGGTTCACTGGATGCATCCCCAGATATCAAACGAAGTTTGGCTTCATTAACTACCGTAGAAAGTCCAATGGTGATAAATAATATTCCTGAAGCTCTGGCTCCTTCAGAAATACTTTGAACATCTGGATTCTTTGGATGGTCAATGCCATCAGTCATCAGCAAAGCTACTTTTACACCATCTTTGCGCCCTTCTCTCTTAAGTAGCCTAGTGGCATTGGAGATAGCATAATAAGAGAAAGTTCCTTGCCCAATGAAGTTCATAGACTTGACCTTCTGCTTAAAAGTCTGCAGATCCTTCCAAGAAGAGAAAGGTGGATCGATTTGGACAGAGCTGCTAAACTGAAGGGCTGCCAGTTTGATGTCATATTTCAAGGAGCGAGCTGGGGTCAATTGGAAAACCTTGTCACTCAGGCTTTCCACAAAATCTTTCTGTTTATCAAAGAGAACAATTTTAGAACTTTCAGAGCTGTCCACAATGAAGACAACATCTATGAAGCAAGTGGAATCTGAAATAGAGCAAATTTGTTAGGCAAAATACTTGTATCTACTCCTGAAACAATTTTGCATAAGAAAAGCCCTGAGCTGATATGTTGTGTATTTGTTTTTGAGAGAAGAGAGAAGTGAAATCCAGAGGCACCTTGTAGATAGGGCTTAAGGTGTAAAGAGCTAAATCTCTTTGCGAGCCTAAACATTCTTTTTCTCAAGTAAAATCATGCAAATCAAAAGCAATAATTTTTAAAATACCATATATTCTAAGCACCTTCCCAAAGTAAAACCCGCTTAAAATGGGAGGAAAAAGTGCATCATAGTTTAAAAATTCAACAAACATTGGGCAAAGTTCTCTAGAAGTAATTAATACTCTACCTATTTCTCGGGTTGTGTGTTGTATTGGTGAGGCTCCTCCTGTAAGTGTTTTGTAGTTTTTAGTTTTTTTAACTTTGTGATATTAAGGGAGAAAATTGCTATACACATCACACTGTAACTACAGTAAAGGAGAAAGAAACTTAAAAGCAGGGAAATTAAGGTTGAATCTTAGGGCTATCTTACTAGTTAATTTCCTACGGCCTTGAGTGTGCCACTTAACCTCTCTGGGCCTCAATTCTTTATCTATAATATGAAAGTGGCAATCTCTGTCATGCCTATTTTATAAGATTACTGTGAATCTGAAATGAGATAATAAGTGTACAAGTGGTTTAAAAACTTTGATGTTTTCATAAGCATGCCCTATAAGTATGTAAGGTGTATCTTCATAATATAATCATATCAAAGTAGAATGTCACATATATGTATATATATATGGTTTGTTATTTACGTCAAATGTTATTGGTAAAAATGCACATTGGTGTTTTAACAGGCTAAAACTAATCATTAAAAACAAAAACAAAACATTTTTTTTACCCTGGAGATCATTTTTCCTTGCAAGTAAATTGGACTTTGATGCTTTCTTTCTTTGTCCATATATTGTTTGACTCATAAAAGCTGGCAAAAGCAGAAGATAAAAAACATGTCTGTTCCACATTTTGGTAGATGGTGAAAAATCATCTGCCTGTAGCACCTTTAATAGAAAAATCCATTATAAATACTCTAATAAAATACAGTTTTTACTATTTTTAATTCCAATCCTGAGGAATTGAACTAGCATGTGCCTAGAGAAAAGAGTTTTCATTCATATTTACAGAAAAATATGCATATTGAGATTTTAGAAGGTTCTAATCCAAATAAATCATGGCACTACAAACAAGCATTTATTAGTGAATATTTCTGTAAATCAAAGAGTCACATCTTACTAGTTTGAATTTCCCATTTTGTTATGGGAAGCAGGGAGTGGGGAGAGGCATTTAAAACATTTCGGTCCCATTCTATATGATAACTGGTTCAATCACAGGGTCTGCTTGACATTTCCACATTCAGACTGTTTCATGGTTGCTTCATTCATTTTCATTATAGCTAATTCCTGACGAGCCCAATATTTTTACAGGGTTGCAGAGAACCACCACCATTTCAGTCTTACTATTTGCATGCAAAACTTCAGTGAGTTCAGAGGTCAAGTAAAAAATTAAGTTGCCCTTTTGTATAGAATCCCATTTCTCTTTTTTACTCTTATTTTGGAAACTGTACCTCCACCAGAGTTCCACCCTGGACCACAACTGCATATCCATCCAATAAATCAAAATAATATAAGAGCAAAATAGATTTGTATAGCTATTCTTCCAGCTAATGGACAAATATAGGACTCAAAATCAGGACACACCCCTTGTGAGCAGCCCTGTGAACCTATTTTTCTGGGCAGATTAACAATAAAAAATCCAACCCTGGGTTAAAATCTTCAGTCATCTCCATCACTCAATATGCCCTGCTATATACATGAGATGACTTTTAAATTCACACTCTTCCCTGGCAAAAAAAGATTCTCATGTGACTAACTCACTGTACCCAAGAATGGCAATAAGAAAGCTTATTCTGAACCAATGCTCTGCATGGTTGAGAAATGTTTGCCTGCTTAAACTATATTGACTTCAGAAGTTCTGGGAAAGGAATCATATTTTCCTCCTTTGGCACCTTGCCTTCAGGGAATGGGAACTGGGAAATCATGAGCATGATTTTTCCAGGCTCTGAGTAGGGGGTAGAAATACATGCAAAAGCAGTGACAAAGGAGATGGGCAACTGATTTCTTTCCTACCTGCCAGATGAAGAAACGCCAAAGGGAAGCAGAGCTGTTGGGTTGGGGATGAACCAATGGATGGCTCCATGCCATGGCCTGTTTCTCAAACAGCATCATCTAGCAGGAAGTGTATTAAGCTGACTGTATCAGGAGGGCCACGCATCTCTGCCAGCAAGTACATCAAGTGCAAGTGATCAAATGTTAGCCACCCTTTAGACCAGGTATGCTCAGGTGTGAAGACAGGTGGATGTTAAAAGAAAGAACAAGAATTGTCCCAAGGAAATAGGATACACAGAGGACATCCCCTTGCTAACCAAGAAGGGTACAAAAGGATGTTCGAGTTTCATTTTGAAGACTAGTGTAAGGATAAGGCTATGAAGCAAAACACAGCTGCTAGTGCATTTAAGGGGGGAGGGGTAAAGGAATTGTGCCATGCCCCTGGTATTACTTATGACTTTTCTCTTTTGTTGAGCCCATACCAGAAGGAACTTCTCAGAGACTGAGAATTTAATTTCATTGAGAACAAGAGAGACTTTGCAAGCTACATAATCAAGATGACTCTTTAAAAACCTAAGGAAGGTGATAACCATGCAGGATCATGAGAAGAAAACCACTCTCTTCTTATTTGTGGGCCTCATTTGGGGCTTTGGAAAAGCTGGTTTTAAATAGAGACTTACCTTTCTCTAAAACTAAGCACCTGTTCATACAGTTTTCTTGGCATTTAATCATAAATTCCTACCAGAACCTCGGTATAGACAATGTTTACTAACATAACTTAATCATTGGTAATAATGACAATGTCTCATATTTTATTACTATTTGCTGCAACATTTTTTATTTAGCTCTCCCAAACCAAAGTTTGGTGTTCCTTTCTGTTTACTGATATTGGCAAGGGGACATGCTTACACCTTTCCATTTTTCTTTCTTTAGTTTTTTAGCTCTCCTGCTGTCCTGAAATCTTTATTAGTTTGGCATCTTAAGAGCCCATCCATTTCTAATCACATTTACCGTGTTTTATTTTGCCTCCCTTTTAAAATAATTCCCACCTTTCTCTCACTTAAACATCATATACAAATAAAATAGGTTTCAGGGGGGCAATGCCATTAGTTAAATGAAAGGAATATATAAACCTCTATTTTTACTATTGGCTAAATTTTATAAATGCAGATACTGACTATCTTTAACCAAATGCCATATTTTTGTCTAAAATATTTGGAGGATGGTAAATATCAGGATCAATAACTTCAAAAGACTTTATATTTTATGAGTTCTCATAAATGAAATGATCTTTCAGCAAAGTTTACCAATTTTACTCACAGTGTTTGCATCTCATTTGTTTCCACCTAAAGATAAAATGACGCATAAATACTTTGTTCAAATTGCCAAACTAGCCAAGTTTTAAAGTATTCTGCAATTAACACATAATTATAAAAACGTTTCAAATTAAGAAAAAGATGCCTCAAAAGATATTAACATCATTGTAGTGCTACACAGTAGACTGTAAGTTAAAAATTATTTTTAAAATAACTTTAAAATAAATTTTAAATTTTTACATTTTAAAATTCTACAATTAGTCGTATTTTTCTAATAATTAATTTAAAATAATAGCAGAGCATACAATTTTTTAATCAGCTTTCTTCACATATTGAGTATGTAAACCATTTAGCCTTCCACAGTTCCACAATGGCCCTCTCTGATTAAAATGATTAAAACAAAGCAGTTATGTCTTACCTTATAAAGTTTGTCAGACAGGAATTAAAGACTGGTGAAGCCAGTGCCAATAGCAAGGACCATCGCTGGGGATGGAGCTGGCTATTGAATACTTCTCTGTTCTGTGGGAAATAAAAATTGTCCTTGCTTTGGATCTTTTGCAATCTTTTATTCATGTTTATTAGACTAAGTTAAAGCAAGAGTGGCCAGGCATTTGGCCAGGGTGCAAGATTTGGGTGGGATCAGTAAGTAAGTTAAAGGAACAGTGTCCTTTTGGAACAAGTCTGTGTTTTCCAGACTGTTTTAAAAACAATTTGAGCATTTTTAAATGTTATTTTATTTTTTACATTTTAGGCACTTTTTGAGTCTGCCTTTGTTTCTCATGCTATGTTCTTCACTTTCCATGTTTACATTTCTTTGCCTGGGGTATGTGCTCTGTTAGATGTGTGTTCTAAATAGGCCTGAGAAGGAACATACATGATTCTAGACCCAGATGCAAAACTGCAGTGTTTTTCAAGAGTGGCAATTGGTTGAAAATTATTGAAGCTGGGTGATGAGTATATATAGAAGCTCATTATTCCGATCTTTCTACAGTTTTGAAAGTTTTTTTGAAAGTTTTCATAATAAAAGGCATGCATAATATATAGCAAAAGAGTGATCTAAATTTAGTCCTTGGTTCTGTCTGTGACATAGGGACCTCAGTTTCCCACGTATGAAACAAGGCAGTATATTTAATTATTTATCAAGGTCCTTTCAAACTGCAACATTAGAGGTAGGTTTACAGGGGTCAGTATTCTGAGGTCTCTGTCCAGGAAAGGCGGTCACTAGTGGTTCCATTCTCTTTATTTCCTATTTTTTCTTCCTTGTAGTTACAGCCCATATTAAGTCAGTGTTTATCAGTACAAAACATACTGCCAAAGGCCGCTTGACCCCTAGACAACTAACAGGGAAGCTTCTCTATGGACAATCTCAGCGATAGATATTAGCAAGAGGATCAGCAAGAGAAAGCAATATAATTGTTCATGTTATAATTCTTTTAAATCAGCTTTCTGAGGAATGCAGTTTAGCACTTATGCATCTGCATATTGTAACAACAATAGTTTCCATTTCATGAACACTTTACCAAGCTAGGTACTATCTAAATGCTTCACACACATTATAGCACTTAGCCCTCCAAAAGCACAACCACCTCCCTCTAATAAGTACTCTAAGAATTCACATTTGCTGCCCGAGCCATTTGGCTCAGTTGTTAGAGTGCCAGCCCTCGGACTGAAGTGCCCCAGGGTTCGATTCCAGTTAAGGGCTGGATCCCTGGCCCCGGTCAGGGGGTGCATGTGGGAGGCAACCAATCGATGTTTCTCTCTCTCTCCCCCTTCCACTCTTTCTGAAAAGCAATGGAAAAAATATCCTCAGGTGAGTATTAAACAAAAAATAATTTACATTTGCCCATGAGGATGTTGAGGCCTGTCACTTGGCCACTATTATACAAGAGAGCACCAGGATGGGATCTTAACTCAGGACCATCTGTCTGCTGAGACTCACTTGTAACTGTTGCATCATTAAACTTAAACCTCCAGATGAATGAGCGAATGCTTGTGCTTTCACGGTCTCCTCACCACAAAGCAGTTCTTGAGGAACCAAGGGAGTTTTGTGGGGCTTTGGTAATAGAAAGAGAAAACAGTGGGTGTGTTGCAGAAGCAACAGTGGGGTTTCCCATGAAGCACGCATATACATTTATGTATTTACACACATATATTGTAAATAGCCTGTGGGTAATAGCCACACTTTCCACTTTTGTGAGATGAGAACCATGAGATAAGGAAGCAGCATTTTTCAAAGGTCACTTCTCTTTTTCCTGAGGTAGATACCAACTTGAAGAAGAATAATGCCTCTAAGAAGTAAGCAGGTGACCTGGAGGGGAGGAATGGACTAAAGCCCTGGTGCTTTTAAACTGTTCTGATCGAAGGGGGTGGAGGGTTGGAGTCCTGCCTGTTCACCATTTCCCCTCCACCTCCAGAATCAGATAGGATAACCTACACCCAAGTTTGCCACCCCTTATTTCAGGTGTAGCAGTCAGAACTACACTGACTGCGTAGACGACTCAAAAGAAAATATTGTGCTCTGTCAAGTTTGATCTGGCAATTAGCTTTGTACCCAGAGAAACAGTGAGCTATGGCTGAAGACTACAATCTTAATCTTAATGGAGGATCTTGAATTAGTGTGCAATTGGGCATCACAGACCAAATAAGAGAGCGTGGGTAACAATGATAACTAAAGTAAGGCAACTTGGGTGGAGTCCAGGCTCCTCCGACAGTCTGTAGCATGGCTTCACAGAAGAAAGATAGTACACTATTTTTACTGTTACTACTATAGATGGATTATAAATACTTGTTGAATGAATGATTATTAGAAATAAATTTTAGTGTTCATCAGTCACCTGAGAACCATGATACAACAGGTTGCTCTCCTCCAGAGCACTGCTAGACAGCAAATCCTTTTCAATTTTTTCAAAAAATTTTGATACTCTACCTAAGTAGAATCTATACTGGCTTTATTTGTCTTGGCACTGGTGCCAAGATCTCCATTTCCATAGTGATGATATTTTGGGGTCCCAAGATCATTTAAAAGGAATCAAAGTCTGGGATGGGCTGTATATATCAGAAGGTTTTATCTGCATGAGGTTACGAGAACACACAAAAAAACTGTACCACAGTTATACATCTGGACCAAGATCAAAGTATAGCAAAATGTTTTACAATCTTCTCCCAGTTTTACCCACCTCCCATACTGCCTAATGAGAACAGAAAAGAGCGTTATCAACTGAGAAGGGAGAAGTCAATTGGAGAAATTTGTCATTAGAGGTCCCCTCCTATTATTGCTTTTTCAGTGTAAAATCTTGGTAGTAGAATTGATAACATTTGCCAAAAGCTCTGAAGTTTCTGGAATTTATTATCCTTCCTGTCTTCAAGAGTGACTTGGACATTCCCTCATGTAATTCTTAAGGAAATTTAAGAAACACCAAAATGGCATTGGTCTTATTTATGAACTTAGGAAAGGATTAAAAGCATTCAAAGACAGCAAGAAAGTGGAAATTATCATTGGTAATCAAACGTAGAAAACGTGGCATTGCTTAAGTCTGGAACAGTGTGACTCCAGCGCCCCTCCCCTCCCCAAACTCTGATTGAGTTGACTCTTCCACATTCCCTCTACTCAATTATTTTTGTCCTGTTTACTCCCTAATATATCTTGCTCCATTATTTGTCATGCGAGCCCCAGCTTAAATAATTGTGTCACATATGCAACACAAGGCGCCCTAAATCACAGTGACAGTGTAATTCTCATTGTACCAATCTTATGACTATGAAAATCTTTCTCTAAAATTTTCCTTCATGATTGATATTTTCTTACTGTGTGTTATTTATTCTTTACTAAGAGCAAATTACTTTATGCCAAAAAACCAGAGTACTCTCTGGAAAAATTTACAATTTTCCTTTCTAAGAAATATCTGAAAGTGGATAGGTTTTGTTCTATCATAGATTTGAATGTCTGATTTTTAAAAAATTATTCTTTTCAGTCAGTGGATAGAGCAGTCATAAGTTTTTCATGCAGAGTCCACCAAAAGAGAAAGATTAGATCTGTTTAAGCTTTGACCAAATTCTACTTTTAATAGGGAAATTATTTTCTGTTTTTTGTTTAATTGATTTTCCTTTCACGTATTATAAAGTATTATACTCTATCTTAGTGAATTATTTGATTGCCCACTAGATGGTATTTAACCTTTTCTTGTATGGGAGACAAACGATATCACTGAATCTCAGGACTGGAAGGAAACTTAGATACCACTCTTGTTTGATTCACCCATTTCACAGATGACAAACTACAGGGCAGATGTTGTGATCCACCCAAAGGTCATCCCATGAGTCAGTGAGGGAATCAAGTCTAGATGTCGGTGAGTCAGTTGGCCATCTTTCATTATTCCTAAGTACCCCAGGAAGTATCTAAGCCTTTGAGCCAGAGCAGGGGGAGAAGGAGACTAATTTACAGCCAACAGTTTATGTTTGAAAAATATGGATTTTATTTCAGTGGGAAATGGCTCAGGACAAATTAACTTGGGCTCAATGCCAGCACACACTGAGTCTCGCATCTCACTGCATAAATCCTAACGCCTGGGCCGTCAGAGGCAATGAGCAGCACGTCTTAGATCCCTGAGCTGAAGAACTTTCTCCTGCAGGTTTGGGTAGTTTTGCCTCAGTAGCTGGGTGTTGTTACACTGACCTCAGTGACCTGTGGTGCATGTCATTGATACCTGATCAAAACACAGCCAATAATGTAGGTAGATATTATTATCACGAATAAGTTCCAGAAACTCAACACCCATTTGAATTTCCTGGTCAGTCCATTTGAGATTTAATAACAATATTCAACAAAGAAATATTTTAAAATAACCCTTTCGGATTCCTGGAACAAAAATGTCTTAAGGACATTAAATAACTTATCACCTGACATTATGTTAACCCATTACAACTCTGTTTTACACAACACTGTCGCTAATTAAGGTAACAGAGGCATCTGTTATTTGAATTACATCTAAATTATATAGTTCCCTTGGATAATAGTTTGTTTCTTCTTCTATCCGTTTGAATTGTGTACTAAAGGTAAATTACCCATGGACAAAGTTTTCAGTGAAAAGGCCTTGAGGTAAATTAATATCCTTACTATTTAGGGAAATAAAAAACTTTTAATAATATAAAACCCTACACAAACATAAGATACCTATTATAATCAAGATTTATTGTTTGTATCCAGAATTGTAGATTCTGAAATTACACATGTCTAATTTTATTTAATGTAAATAACATTTACTTAAGGATATATTTTTTTATTATACTCATTGACCAAATTCAGAAAGGCCAGATACTAACACAAATCAGTGAGGACTGACATTAGGTAATGTGGGACTGTTGTTTGAAAAAAGATATTTGGACACCACCTTGTGGGGCTTTGTAGAAAGACATGGTGTGAGAGCTTGTCTACTATCGTTAAC